AAATAAATAAAAAGGGCCATTGCTGCAAACAGCTGAAGAAGATACATTTGGTTACTCGTAACATCAAAAAGGAGAGCCAGGTAACCAAAAGATGAATAGCAAATTTGGTTTGAAAGCCTTAGAGTATACTTTTTTCGCAGTATATTAATAAACAATATTATAATCATAAATACCCAAAGCACACAATTTACTTATGGACCAAACATTATAAAAAATGCCTTTAAAACTGTGAATAATGTGTGCAAAATAAACACCCACATTTTTAACACATCCTAACAATGCTAAACTTACATCATCCATAGAATTTGTAGTCATTATAGAATAAACTTACCTCCTCTCCATTAGCTTGCTCAGTCTGCTTTTCGGGATATACACCTGCTCTTAAGAATGATGCCTTCCATGAATCCACTTCATCTTGGTTTTCGCAACTCAATTCTAGTTGCTTGAAGTCCTGAAAGATAATTATGAATTTCAGTGATCAACATCAAATACACTCACTTTTATTATGAGTGTTTGATACCAGAAGTGTATGTTGTTTATTTTTTTTCTTTCACATTCTTAAAGTGAAACCTGACTTACGCAGTCACTAAAGGTTCCAGAGCAAACTGGGTCATAACAGAGATGACTTATCAATGAAAGTTCTGAGATTTCAAAAAGCCTACTCCAGGTGCCAGTTACTACAAAATAAAGAATGAGTATGATTTCCTTAAAATCTTTTTAATTATTTTATTCCAAAGTCCTAAAGTGTTTTACAGTCAGAATATTTTGATATTTTAGATTTAGACTAAGAATACTTTCTCATAAACATAAATAGAAAAATGCATATATTTTTGATATTTGACCCCGAAATTTGGATGTCCTCAAATGAGGACATTGGAAATTTAAGTTAGTATACTTCGTGACTAGGCCAAAAAGAAAAATAGTTGGTTTAGTGATGAACTTATGAATTATGTCGATGTTAGAAAAAACATTTTGAACAATCCAGAATCCTTTTTCAAATTAGTTGTTGCGATATCTAATAAAACATTCAGCACATAATGTTATATTACATTTGGAACAAGAAGTTCATGATTTTGCATTGAATTTCATATGTCACATCATCTTCGCTTCTCCTGTTTGCTAATGAAATGATATTTTCTATGTACATACTGCATACAGAAACATACAGTAAGATGGATGATTAAAAGCAATGTGTCTCAGTGGTTTCTCAGCAAAACCACTTTCCTTGCACATGTGTTTATGTTCTGAAAATTTGTTGAATCTAAGTAACGAGGCTAATAAAACTATAATTTTCAAAAAATTATTCAAATTTTAAGAATTTTCATATTGTTGGGACTCAAAGGGTTAAAGCAATGCTAGCAACAACACGCTGTAACGAAAGCAGCAGCCGGCAACGGTTGATAGTATTATTTACTTTCATTATTTCACTTTCTTGCTTAGTGCTTACACAGAATATTTAAAAGCAAAAATATGTTTGTGAATACACTGAATACCTTATACACTGATTTCAATGTCAGAAAATATATGTTCATTTAAATTTTAAACAAAAAAATCTATTTTTCACACTTCCTTTATTTACGGGATAATGTGATATTTCAAGTATAAGAAAAACAGGAGCTAAAACATAACATTACATAACGAAAACATATTGCAAGAAAGTATGTGATATAGCATACTGCATAAATATTGTATAGTAATGTAAATAAATCTGTATAAAAAACTCTGTCCATGTTTAAATCACATCATGACATCCCATTTTTTGTGCAGGCACTTAACATATACATAATTCATATACAAAAATCATTCTCAATGCCATTTTTGCCTCTTGTGCCCGTGTTGCTCAAATGAACTCTATTCAAGACCTGCTGCATCAATCAGGAGCGATTCCACCATGAAGGAAATGAGATGTTGAATCACATTATTGCAATTGATAAAACGTGGGCACAAGCATATGAACCAGAACTAAAGAGCAATCAAATGAATGGCAGCAGCATGGTTCTCCCTGAAAACACAAGTTTTACCAAAATCCATCATTCACGAAGGTCATGCTTATTTTGGCTTATGACAGCCACGTTATTCTGAGCCTGTTTGTGCAAGTCAAACTTTCACTGCAACGTACTACAGTTCATTTCTGCTGCAGACTGTGTCATACACTGCAGAGGAAATGTCCAGGGCTTCTCAACAATGCAATTCTCCTCCATGATAGTGCAACAAGCCACTGATTCTGTCTAATCCATGATCTTTCCATGTGACTTCGAACTCTCCGAAAATTTAGACGCTGCTATATGGGAAGCGGTTTGCAAACAGGGAGGACATCCTAACATCTCATCAACACATCACAGACCTTCCTCATTGTTGGCAAAGATGTGTGGATGCCTAAGGGTATTATTTTAAGGTTGATAGCTTGTTAGAGTATGAGTATTAAACGTAGTTTTGTTTTGTGCATGTGCAATACGAATAAAACAATGATCTCTATTTACCTATCTTTCAACGTCTCTTACCCATAACTCCTTGTACACAGATTCCAATTTAGTACCAGCATTGCAAACACTATTTCAGCGACTTTCAATCATTATCCTGATTTTTGTTTCCTACAGCTTTATTGACTGATAAAAATTAGTTGCCATGACTTCTGAAATGACACTCTTATTTATTTATGAGATAGTATTTACAGTTACTTTCAAAGTATGCCCCTTGCAAGGCAATAAAATATTCCCAGCAATCTTGCCACTTTCAGAATGTGTCACTTCTTAAAACATGTCAAGCACCTTCCACAACCTGCTCTGGACCTCCAGTCAGTTGCTTTTGTTGAATTGCAGGCCTGACTTCCCCTTACATCTGTGGAAATTATAAGCTTTCCACTGACAGTATCAACATATAGTGCATAAGAGCAACATTTCCATTGCAAATTGCAGGGTTCTAAGCAAAATTTTACATTCGTTCTTCGCTCAAGCATATTGATCATTATGGAATTGAGCAAAATGTAACATTTGTTAAAGTAACTCAGGCTCCACAGCAACCAATGTCTCTCAACACTGACTTATGAAGGTCATTGCTCTCTGTGACAGCATGTATCTTTATGCTGCCATTTGTTAGCACGTTGCAGAACTACAATGAAACTTTTTGATACCACCTCATATTTAGCAGTCTTGGTGAAAAATAAGCTTACCAAAATATAAAGCAAAAATGTGAATTGAAATCTTACCTTGTAAACATTTCTACCTTCAGGATTGAAAAGAGCAAAAGAATGCCGACGAGACATGAAACCCTGTTCTATGTCCCTCAACTTCAAACCATCAAGGGGGAGCATGTATTTTTTTTCTCTTTCCTGGAAACAGATGACAAATTATAGTTTCTTCAATTTTTTTTGTAACATGTAAAAGAAAAAGCAATTAAAAAACGAAATGTTTACCTCTTCATCTTTAAACCATGAAATATTATCTGATGTTAACACAAACCAATAATCTCGAGCTCCTCCTTTCATGATTCCCAAGTTATGAATATTCATGTAACCTTTACGAATGACCTGGTTACCTATTTTCCTTCCTGCTTTCACTGAATTTTCTGATGATTGTTGAGCACTGACAAAATATTGGCTGTTACATTGGTTACCAAGTGGTTCATAAAGTGCAAAGAAACTAAGCACAACTTGAGAAAAAGATTAATGAATGAATATGAATGAGTAATCTATAACTTACTTAGCAAAGCCAATAAAATCTTCATGATTCGTATTCATGTATGCCAATTCACAATCTATCAGCAGAATAATTTGCTCTTTACAAATTTGTTCTCTCTGTCTTACATGGGTAGTTATAATCCTTTCTGTTTCCTCTCGCAGACGTGGGTATCTGGCCATCTATTACAGTAAAATGACAAAATTAATAAAATTCCTGTCACTGTAATATAAAACCTGTAAGAAGACACATTACACTTTTCTACATACCTAATGAATACTGAAACAAACAATTCTTAATTTATTACTATAAAAGAATAAAGACTTCAACTTGGAATTTACATTACCTTGTCTGTACACACACGAACAACATTAGAAAGTTCTGCAACAACGAGATCTACACATTTCAAACTTGGTTCTTTTAGACGAGCAATTTGCTTTTTAACAATAGCTTCAAAAGCCATGTCAGGTGTAAACAAGCCAACTCTAATACCTATGATAGAGAAAATCATAATAAAAGATGTTCACACGTTTACAGCACAGAAAACTTATGTTCATATATCCTACCATGAATATTTCTAATTGCAAATGCTATTTCTTTCCGCAGCTCTTTCTCATCAAATTCCATCTTGACAATTTCAAATGGGAATCTTTCATGGAACAGGCGATTTATCTTTGCTCCTCCAGACAGCTCCATTGTATTAATAAGAGCTGATCCTGAACCTTCAATGGTGCGTTCAAAATCTGACTGAAGTTGCTGGATCATTCTAATAAAATCAGAGAAAATGTAAATTTTTTTTCCACATAGAATATTTCAAGTTACCCAGAGGTACTCCCCATTTTTAAAAATGTAATTAAACGTGCAACTGAATTCACTGTACACTGCTTTCTCCCAAAAACAAAAGTCTAAACTCCAACTGAACCCAATCACTCAATTTCAATTAATATGTATGATGATCCCCGAATACAATGAGATTTATCAAACTCAAAATACAATTCAGAAGGAGTTTACCCATAAGATATTAGAATTATGTTTATTTTAGAACCCTTCTCCTACATTCTCCAATATTTGAGAAGAGTCTCTTCACTGTTAATAAGTTTCCTCAACTTTTTGGCAACTGTTATATTTATAAATGTCTGGAAAATGTTGAATTTAACGTAAACAAATTCTTTAACACTTTTCTATGTTCCCAACCCTCATCAAGAATACCTAACTCAAAAAAATGAACTAACGGCTTGCTCCCTTGATCTTCAATTACTTCCTGTTATTGTTTGCCAGCAAGCTTACATTTCTGCTTTTCTTTTGTAATTGTAGAATTGATTGACAGCCATGATCAATAAGATAACATTTGTAACTTTACACATCAAACATTTTCAACCAAAGAACTTTCACTTCAAAGGTATCAAAACGGTTTTCTGAAAATCCTTGTGTGCAATTTAATAGTCTAATAATTTAGAAAACATTTTTGTATGCATAGATTAGTGTGGAAATGACACAATACAAAGTCCGAAGTATATTCATAACTCCTTACAAATAATAATAATAATAATAATAATAATTGATACAATAAGATATTTTGTAGTTACGAAGCTTGAGATTCATATTAATTGAAATATTTGAAATGTTAAATTTTATTCCGAGTAAAATGATACCATTATAACTGGAATGTTTAATTATGGAACTGCCTTCACGCCCAGAAGGGAAGCATAAGAAGAGGGTAAAAAAAGGTAAAGTAATTACATTATAAAAGTATGCAATTGACACTTGTAAGATACAAGACATTTCAATGAAATCCACCAATCTAAGAACTCAAATAAGAGCGTAGTCTACTGTTCGAGCCCTCAGATGAGTAGTTTCATACATGTGTCAATTGCAAACTTCTTTGAACCACAGAATAGATTCAGATCAGATAGAACCAGAGAACAGAACAGCAATTCACACAGCTACTAAATTATGAAGAACATAAGCACTCACTGTAACATAGCCTTTGTTTTAATAGCTGGATCATCTGGTCGGAAATGTTTATATTGTTCAACATCTTTCTCCAGAGTAAGTTGTTGTTTCTAAAATATAAAAAATAATAACCATTATTTAAAAAAATTTAAAACTACAATCACAGAACTTCAATATACAAAGGAAAAACCCTCCTACCTGTAGTTTCTCACGCAGACTTGGTAAAGTGTCCCTTATATGATTTGTCAACTGTTGATTTAATACTCGTTGTAAATATGGAGTTCCTAAACGATCAGCAAGATGTCGGTATGATGGATGACTACAACAAACACAGTTTTATTAAAAATTCAAGTCCTAAATGCCCAATTTATAATTCATTTATATTTAATTTTTACCTAAGGAAAAATTTCCTCTCCGCTGCTAAGGCAGCCTTAATATCTTTACGTCCTTCAATATCTTTTTGGCTGCGGTTCACAACACCAATATAACCACGCCTGAGCGGAAGAAGCTTGTTCTCTAAAATATCACGAGCATCTGTACCCTCGTCCATTAGGTCAAGTTTTGTAATAACACCTATTGTACGAATGCCTAGAAAAATGAAAAATAAACTATTAATAATTTATATTTACAAGATTTTCAAGTAATTGCCAATAACATTAACAACAAAAGGGTTACATAAATCTTCAAATAAAGGCAGACATAAATGTTCATAATCATTCACAAACATGCACAAACTAGCAAGAATGTTTTGCTTATTTTTTAAATGACAGCAACATGCAAATTTATCACTAACTTTAACATTTCTCTATTATAAACAGAATAGAAGATGGTACATCAAGAAACTAAAAATGCTTCCTTACAGGCAACTAACTATTTCAAATAACATTCATGTTTTGTTTCATAAAATACTTAGATTTTGTTATTTTTTAACAAAACATTTTGGATCCATTGCAAGTTTGGGTTATAAAAAAAAGTTCTAAACAGTTTTCCTGCCTTTTGCCCTTTTCTTTGTGCGAACTAAATCTTGCCGAATTGCATTACCTTGATTTGTTCAGTTTCCACAGGAATTTTTGGGCTTAATTTGAAGAGTTAAAAAAGATACTCTTCCTTTTCTGTTTGAGGCTTGCAGTAAAATAAATGAAATTATCTCTTATAGAAAAGGTGCTTGAGAAACACCTGAAACGAGACTCCCAAAAACCTAATGTATACTTTCCAAAATGTATAACAAGTTGGAAGAAATAACGAAGATTTTCAAAAATGTTAACTATTTTGTTTGATTAGAATTCCAGCAATGTATTTAACTTGGATGTAGCATTGATTATATTAATAAGAATTAGGTATTACATTTTTACTTAATTGTCGTCAACCCTTAATTCCCCAAAATTGGATGTTTTTACCCTTTAAATGTACAATAAATTTTCAAAAATATAGAATGAAAAATTAACAGTATGAATACCTGACTCACAATTGATATTATTTACAACAGTTTTAAGGGAAAAGTGAAAATTTATTTTAATTTCACATAATTTGTTATGGTGATATCTATAATTATCAGAAATTTTCTGTATTACATCAGTATTTTTCATGTTAAAGTGGACTCTGGGGGAGGAGTGAAGTATTTAACTTTATGATCAAAGGTGGAAAATAGCATAATTACTTGTAATAGTTAATACAAATTCTTTAGAATTCTCAGTTTTATTTTCAGAGTCATTATAACTTCTGCTTTATATCAACAGAAAATAGAGAAATTCTTGTTTGATAAGGTGCAGGGCTTGTTTGATAAGGTGCACCTTGCTAACAATGGATTCATTCTAATTATTAATAGTGTATTCAGATGAAATGCCTGGACACAAGTACATCAGTATACAGATTTGTGGCTTCTTTCCAACATGGGGACCTCTAAAATGAACTTTTCTTTTAGATTGAAGCAAAGGTAACTATCAAGAACTGTTTTCACACAAATTTGAAGCTCATGGCTTGTCCTTTTCACCTTATTTTATTCCAAAATATCCATAAAATAAATTTTCACCAAATCACCAAAAAAGTATAATTTATTATCATGTCATATAAATTTAAACAATAAAATTTAAATATAGAGAAAATTGTGGGTGATAAAAATTCTGTCTCAACAACCAGCACCCAAAATACATTTAAATCATTATTACTTTCCAAACAATATTTTCATAACAAATCTTTGTAATTACACGTGTTTGTAATTTTTAATTACACGTGTTAATGTGTATGATGTTCAAGAGCCAAAAGGTGTAAAAATTAAATTTACCCCAAACCAAATGTAACTTCATTACGGTTGCAATGCCCAAAACTATTGTAATTTGCTTAAATCATAAAAATG